GGCCCGCCCCCCCGCCGCCTGCAGCAGCTTCCCCAGCCCTTTCTGTCCGCTCCTACCCGGGGGCCCCCTCCCCGGGGGGCCCCCCGGGGGGCCCCCCCGGGTCTTCCGGGGGTCTTTGCTTCCATGTCAGGGCCCTGAGAGACGCAGCAGACCCTCCGTCTCCCGCTGCAGCAGCAGCAGCAGCAGCAGCAGCAGCAGCAGCAGACCCTGACGTGGACGTCACAGACGAGCACTGCACCATCGTCTGCGTCGAGGGGGCCCCCCCGGGCCCCCCCCGTCCCCTCCTGGCGTTGCTGCGGGGGGCCCCCCGGGGGGCCCCCAGGGGGGCCCCCAGGGGGGCCCCCAGGGGCCCCTGGGGAGGGTAACTTCGGTGCCAAGTGTGTCTTTGGCGCGTTTGAACTTTTTGCATTCTTCGCCTTCTGGGGCTGAGCTGCAGCACGAGGCCCGGGAGAGTCCTGCTGCGCTGCGGCTGCGGCTGCTGCAGCGGGAAGCTGTGCTGAAGGCAATTGCTGCTGCTGCTTTCTGCTGCTCCCCGCAGCAGCAGCAGCAGCAGCAGCAGCAGCAGCAGCAGCAGCCTCAAGTCCAAGTCCAAAAGATCTCCGGAGGCCTCAGCAACCAGCTCTACCTCGTCCTCATCGCCCAGGCTCCCTCGGGGGCCCCCCAGGGGGGCCCCCAGGGGGGCCCCCAGGGGGGCCCCCAGGGGGGCCCCCAGGGGGGCCCCCAGGGGGGCCCCCAGGGGGGCCCCCAGGGTACTGGGGGGCCCCCCGTGAGGAAGGCTTTGATTCGGGTGTATGGACACCAGCAGGGGACGGCGCTGTTCAGCGCGAGGGCGGAAAGAAGACTTTTTAAAACTTTGGGAAAGTTGGGAGTGGCCCCCAAGTGTCTTGCAGAGTTTGAGGTGAGCGAGGGTTTAGGGTTTAGGGTTTAGGGCTTAGGGTTTAGGGTTTGGGGTTTGGGGATTTTTGTTTGGGTCTCAGTACTCACGGCTGCAGGTGCAGTGTAGTGATTCTGCTTTTCCAGCTCTTTGGGTTTAGGGTTTAGGGTTTAGGGTTTAGGGTTTAGGGTTTAGGGTTTAGGGTTTAGGGTTTGCGGATTTTTGTTTGGGTCTCAGTACTCACGGCTGCAGGTGCAGTGTAGTGATTCTGCTTTTCCAGCTCTTTGTATTCCGTCGCTGAATTCAGGGTTAGAGGGTTTAGGTTTAGGGTTTAGGGTTTAGGGTTTAGGGTTTAGGGTTTAGGGTTTGGAGCGCGTGTGCTTATTGCAGATAGCAGCATTTCACCAAGTGCCGGTCCCTTCATTCCTCCCAGAGGCAAGTTGTCTCTTGCAGCCCGCCTCCACCGGCCCCAGCAGCAGCAACAGCAGCAGCAGCAGCAGCAGCAGCAGCAGCAGCGGCTGCTGCAGCAGCAGCAGCAGCAGCAGAAGCGTGTCCGACAGCTGCTGCTGCTGCTGCCTCTGCCGCCTCGAGTCCTGGGGCTGCATGGCCAGGGAGGCCCTCGAAGTGGTCCTCAGGGAGGGGCCCCTCCCTCCAGGTGAAGTGTGGGGCCCCGAGGCCCCTGAGGGGCCCCCAGGGGGCCCCCCAGGGGGGCCCCGAGGCCCTCATGTTGTCCACTGCGAGGAAGTTGAGGGTTTTGGGATTGGAGAAGTTTTTGGAAGAAGCAGTTTGGCTGACGGGGCAGATAAGGGCCCTTGCTGCTGCTGACGCGGCTTACTTTGGGCAGCTGCAGCAGCAGCTGCAGCAGCAGCAGCAGCAGCAGCAGCAGCAGCAGCAGCAGGGAGACGCAGCAAGCCGCGCAGACACCAAGGGGCTGCTTTGGCTCTCCGGAACTTTCCCTGTGCTCAGCCACAACGACTACCAGGAAAACAATGTGCTGCTGGTGAGGGTTTAGGGTTTAGGGTTTGGGCTTTAGCTTCTAGGGTTTAGGGTTTAGGGTTTAGGGTTTGGGCTTTAGCTTCTAGGGTTTAGGGTTTAGGTGTCGGAGTTTACGCGCCTAGCAGAGAGCGTCTGCAACAGAGGCAGCACATGCCGCGGGCAGCAGCAGCAGCAGCAGCACTCACTGCAGCACCAACTGCAGCAGCAGCAGCAGCAGCAGCAGCAGGAGCGCGAGCTGCAGCCCCACACTGCCACGAGCACAACCAGCAGCAGCAGCAGCAGCAACGGCAGCAGCATTCGCAGCCTTAGCAGCAGCGGCAGCCGCAACAGCTGCGCCAGCATCTGCCGCTGCAGCGTCTACCGCTGCAGCAGCAGCAGCAGCAGCAGCAGCAGCAGCAGCAGCAGCAGCAGCAGCAGCAGCAGCAAATTTGTTTTGTGTGCAGTCCCCCACCGGCGAGCTGCGGCTAATTGACTTCGAGTACTCCGGGGCAAACGCGAGGGCTTTCGATGTGGCCAATTTGTTCTGCGAGGCCACGCTAGACTACAACGCAAACCCTCGTAAACCCTAAACCCTAAACCCTAAACCCTAAACCCTAGGGCGGGGGTGGCGTGGGCGGGGTCGAAACCCCAGGCCCTAGGCCCGGCTGCGGGGGGCATCAAACCCTAAACCCTAAACCGTGAAGGCTAAACCCTAAACCCTAGTCTTGGGCCGCTAGAGCGTAAACCCTAAAAAAGGGTTTGGGGCGTGCTGCTGCTGCAGAGTGGCCCTTCTACAGCTACTTGCCGCAGCAAATGCCGAGCGAGGAGCTGCGCAGACACCTGATTGAGGTGTACATACACCAGACCATTGCCCGCCAGGGTTTATCTCATCTTAAAGAAAAACTTGCAACACAAGAAACCCTAAACCGCTTCTACGTAGTCGTAAGCAAACCCTAAACCCTAAACCCTAAACCCTCAGCGGCGCCAGCGCGCCTGCAGGAAGGCGGGCAGCCGCAGGGGCGCGCGACCGGGGCTGCGACTTCGGGATTAGGGTTTAGGGTTTCAGTTTTAGGGTTTAGAGTTTAGGGTTTAGGGTTTAGGGTTTAGGGTTTAGGGTTTGGGGTGCTTTCCTCAGGTGGAGCACATGATGTTGGTGTCCCATTTAGTCTGGGCTTTCTGGTCAATCGTTCGGTGAGCAAACCCTAAACCCTAAACCCTAAACCCTAATTTTTAGTCCACTCTCCGTAAACCCTAGGTTTTGAAGGAAGCCCCTAGAGCCAAAGCGAAACCCTAAGCTCTAAACCCTAAACCCTAAACCCTAATGAATCGCCGGGAGCAGAGCTATTTGCAAACGCTAAGCCCTAATGCTAAACCCTAGCTGAGCCCTAGCTAAACCCCAACCAAACCCTAGCTAAACCCTAGACAAACCCTAGCTAAACCCTAGACAGACCCTAGCTAAACCCTAGCTAAACCCTGGCTAAACCCTTTTGGGGTTTGGGGTTTTGTTCAGGACAAAGGTGCCTGAAGACCCAGAGTCCTTCTCTTATCTTGACTACGCCAAAACAAGGTGAGGCTTGTGCATGCGAGGGTTTAGGGTTTGGCGAGGGTTTAGGGTTTAGCGAGGGTTTAGGGTTTAGCGAGGGTTTAGGGTTTAGTGAGGGCTTACGGCTGGGGTCTAGGGTTTCGTGGGGCTCTAGGGTTCGCTGGGGGTTTAGTGTTGGACACAGCTGCAGGGTTTCACGAGGGTTTAGGGTTTGGCGAGGGTTTAGGGTTTGGCGAGGGTTTAGGGTTTGGTGAGGGTTTAGGGTTTGGCGAGGGTTTAGGGTTTAGGGTTTGTTCTGTGCGGCTGCAGGCTAGAGCTTTACAGCGAGAAGAAAAAGGAGATGTTGGCGAATGGCATTATCTAAACCTTCATTCCCAAACCCTAAACCCTCGCGTGCAAACCCTAAACCCTCGTCTGCAAACCCTAAACCCTCGTCTGCAAACCCTAAACCCTCGTTTGTAAACCCAAAGCCCTCGCTTGTAAACCCTAAACCCTCGCGTGTGTTGCGAGCGGCTTTGGTTGCGTTTTTTGTAGTAGAAAGGTTTAGCTGGGGCGGCCTAAGCGCCGCAAACCCTAAACCCTAAACCCTAAACCCTAACCCTCGAGCTGCAAAAGTGGCAGATGGCAGTGCGTGATATCTATACAGCTCGGCAGCTTCCTGTGTGCCTGCTGCTGCTGTTGCTGCTGCTGCAGCTGCTGCTGCTGCTGCTGCTGCTGCAGCTGCTGCTGCAGCTGCTGCTACGTAAAGGGTATAAATTATAAGTCAGAGTTTCAAATAAGTTTGCTGCAGCAAATCAACAAAACCATTTATCATTTGTAGTCGGTCTTTTGTGCCAACGCTGGGCCGAAACCCTAAACCCCAATTTAGGGTTTGGCTTCCGCCTTCCCGAAACCTGAGGATTCTCCTCTGGCTGAATTCTTTTGCCCCTTTCAAAGGCTTGCACTGTACAGGTCCCTCAATAGGGTTTAGGGTTTAGGGTTTAGGGTTTAGGGTTTGGAGTCAAAATTCGCTGAAGTGGCTAGACCCAGACCCTATAGGGTTTCGAAAGCCTCCCCCAGGCTGGGGGGCCCCCTGGGGGCCCCCCAGGGGGCCCCCCGGGGGGCCCCCTTGGGGGGCCCCCAGGGGGGCCCCCTGGAGGGGCCCCTGGGGGCCCCCATAGGGGCCCCCCAGTGCTGCGTCTGAAGGCGAAGTGAACCAAAGGGGATGATAGAGGAAAAGGAAAACGAGAGCATTGACAACTAGAATGGGCTGCAGCACAAGGACAAACCCTAAACCCTAAACCCTAAACCCTAAACCCTCAGGGCCGCAGCGGCAGCGGCCCGCGCTGCAGCGGCCGCACGGCGCTGCGCCCGCAGGCCGTAAACCCCCGCAAAGCCGCCACCGCCCCTAGGGTTTAGGGTTTAGGGTTTAGGGTTTAGGGTTTGAGGCTAACCACCACAATGTAGCCAACAATGGAAGCAGATTCCAGAAAGCTGATTTCCTCGTCCACAGCTCCTGAGGTGTACATACACCGCAGGGTTTGCATGCAAAGATGCCACTTCGAATTCCATTTGATTTATTTTATTTATTTATCTTTAATTAATTTTATTTTTATTTATTTACTTTTCATTTATATACCACTATAAATAAATAAGTAAATAAATAAATAATCAGCAATAAATAAATAAACTGCTTTATGAAAGCAGCATAAGCAGCAACAACTGTGCAACTAGGGTTTAGGGTTTAGAGCGCGCGGGCTTTGGCGCTGCGAGGGTTTAGGGTTTAGGGTTTAGGGTTTAGGGTTTGGCACCTAGGGTTCGCTTGAAAGCCTTTGCTGCTAGCGAATTCGGGTGCTGCTTTATGAAAGCAGCATAAGCAGCAACAACTTGCTGCTCTCTGCCACTTTCGCACAGCGGCAGCCCACAAGTTGCATGCAGCGCAACAGAGTCTGGCGAGGAGCAGCAGCAGCGAACGAAGTGGTCCATTGCTGCCTGCAGCAGCAGCAGCAGCAGCAGCAGCAGCAGCGGCAGCAGCGGCAGCAGCGGGGAGAACAGCAGCTTATGAATAGGTGTGCTCAGGAATGAAGACTGCTGCAGCAGCAGCGGCAGCAGCAGAAGCAGCAGCTTGGGGGCAACAGCAGCACAAGCAGAGGCAAATGCGAAAAGGAATAGCAGCAGCAAAAGCAGCAGCAGCAGCAAAAGCAGCAGCAGCAGCGGGAGCAGCAGCAGCAGCGGGAGCAGCAGCAGCGCAGCAGCAGCTGCAAATGCGAAAATGGTGGAAAATGGCGAAAAAGAAACGAAATGAAGCCGGAAAAAGAGAAATAAAGAAAAGAAAGAAAGGCGGATTGAATGGAAGAAGAATTGAATTGAAAAAAGAAGAAAATGAATCAAAAAAAGAAGAAATTGGAAGCGAAATTACCGAAAAATCTCCGAAATTGGAGTAAATTTCGACCAAGTGCAAATGGGCTATGCCGTCGTTGGGGTTGATTTCGAGGACGCGGCGGTGCAGCTGCAGCGCAGCAGCAGCGTCGCCTTGGTGCAGCGCAACTTGACCTGCAGCAGCTCAAAAAAGGAGGAATTCGAGCTTTAAATGCATTAAATCAAAGACAGCAGCAGCAGCAAATTAATTAAATGCAAAACCACAAAAAAAAGCAAAAAAAATGATCCAAAAAACCCAAAAAAGCGCCATTTTCGAGCTGTATGTACACCCCAACCGCAGGCTCTTCACCAGCTGCTGCCCCACTTGCTGCAGCAGCAGATTCGATTTGCTGCAGCAGCAGATTCGATTTGCTGCAGCAGCAGATTCGATTTGCTGCTGCAGCTCAGTTGAATAAGAAGAAAAAAGAACAAAATAGAAAAAAGAGAAAACAAAAATGGAAAAGAAGCAAATGGAAGACACAAAACAAGAAAAGGACAAGTGCGAAAACAGCAGCATGACGGATGGAAGCAAACCAACACAAACCAGCAGCAGCAGCAGCAGCAGCAGCAGAAGCAGCAGCAGCAGCAGCAGCAGCAGCAGACCGAGGTTGTTGAGCAGGTGAGTGTCATTTGGCATTTCCTTCAAAAGGGCTTTAAATATGTCAGCACTCTCTTTCCATTCCTCCCGGTAGAAATACACCTGCACACACATACATGCTGCTGCTGCTGCTGCTGCTGCTGCTGCTGCTGCTGCTGCTGCTGCAGCTGATTACCACGTCGCTACTGCTGCTGCTGCTGCTGCAGTCATTTGAAGTGCAGCAGCGCTGCTGCTGCTGCAGCGCGTCTGGCCGAAACGTCGCGGCTCCTGCTGCTGCTGCTGCTGCACCTCCCCCCCCACCCCCCGCAGCAGCAGCAGCAGCAGCAGCAGCAGCAGCAGCAGCAGCAGCAGCAGACCTGGGCCAAGTGGAGCTTCGCAAGCACGTTGTGGGGGTCTTTCGAAAGACACCGCTGCAGCAGCAGCAAACAGCGCTCTGTGCTGCTGCGGATTCTTTTGAGGCGTTCTGTGTCTTCATCAGAATTAATTTCTTTTTCATTTTCTTTTGTTTCTTTTATTTCTTTTTCTTTTTTTTCTTTTATTTCTTTTTCACTTTCTTTTTCTTTTTTTAAATCCTTTTTTAATTCTTTTGTTTCTTTCTTTTCGCCGCTTTTCGATTTTTCGCTTTTCGCGTTTTTTTCTTTTTTATTTTCTGTTTCTTTCTTGGCCTCTGCAGCAGAAAGAAATAAAAAGAAATTAAAAGAAATTAAAAGAATTAAATAAATTAAAATTAAAATAATTTAAACAATTTAAATAATTTAAATTAAAAAAAGGAGTCAAAATAATCCAAAATATTAAAATTAGGCCTCCTAAACCCTAAACCCTAAACCCTGCACAGTAACCCCCAAACCCTAAACCCTCAAGCCTCCTAAACCCTAGAGGGAGGCCAAACCCTCAACATAAGCCCCGGACCCTAAACCCTAAACCCTAAACCCTCCTAAAACCCAGAATGAAGCCCAAACCCCAAACCCTAGACCCTCCTTAACCCTAGAGTGGAGCCCAAACCCTAAACCCTAAACCCTAAACCCTAAACCCTAAACCCTAGAGTGGAGGCCAAACCCTAAACCCTAAACCCTAAACCCTAAACCCTAAACCCTAAACCCTAGAGTGGAGGCCAACCGCTATCTTCGTGAGGCTCCTCCATAGACCTCCTTTCTTCCTCTTCTGCTGCCTTATCCAGCAGCAGCATCGCAAGCACACTCAATGCAGTTGTGTTTCTGAGGCACAAACCCCAAATTAGGGTTTAGGGTTTAGGGTTTAGGGTCTACGGGTCCAAAATTCGCACTGCAAGCATGTGAGACGCGCGGCGAAAACAGACAGACAACGAGGCCCAAACAGAGAAAACCCTAAACCCCAAACTCTAAACCCTAAACCCTAAACCGTAAACCCTAAACCCTAAACCCTGCTGACTCACTCCTCGTCTAATTTTATCGAATGCTCAAAGGCTGCTTCCGCTTTCTCGAGCTCTTCCAGCTGCACTCAAACACAAACACCACACTCACTCTCAAACCCTAAACCCTAAACCCTAAACCCTAAACCCTAAACCCTAGCCCTAATTTGCCGGTGTTGAACTGGCTCAGTTTCATTTGAGCTTGTTTGCGGTGGCCTCCAGGTGAAGCAACAGCATGAGGACTAGGGTTTAGGGTTTAGGATCTAGGGTTAAAAGACTAGGAAAAAGGGTTTAGGGTTTAGGGTTTAGAGCCTTAAACCAAAGCTAGGGTTTAGGGTTTCGCCTCAAAACACCTCATAGTAAGCGAGACCCAGAGAGTTGAACATTTGCGCGTCTTTGGGGTTTAAATCAATGGCCCTGGAGACACACAGAAAACCCTAGGGTTTAGGGTTTAGGGTTTGGCGTTTAGGGTTTAGGGTTTGGCGCATAGGGTCTAGGGTTTGGCAATTAGGGTTTAGGGTTTAGGGTTTGGGCGGCAGTCGCCCGAAGAATTCCCCGCACGCTTTCTCCATGAGACGCAGCAAGTGAATCCTCACCTCAAACGGTAAACCCCAAACCCTAAACCCTAAACCCTAAACCCTAAACCCTAAACCCTAAACCCTAAACCCTGACCCCAACAGCCAAAACCAGAAATTCCGAGCTTCAAATCCTAAGCCCTAAGCCCAAAACCGGACTCCTAAACCCCAAACCCCGAACCCCGAACCCCAAACCCCAAACCCCAAACCCTAAACCCTAAACCCTAAACCCTAAACCCTAAACCCTTGCCTCCAGTATCTGCGAACAGCCTCGAGGAAGTTCCCGTCTTCGAACTGCAAATGGCCCAGCAGCTTCTCAAGAGCCAAACACTTGGGGGCCCCCAAACCCTCATTTAGGTCTTTCCATCTTCTCTTCAGATGTTTCCTCAAACTCAAAACCACTCCCCCCAAACCCTCCACTTTACAGGGCCCCAAACCCTCACATTCGGGGGCCCCCGGGGGGCCCCCCTGGGGGCCCCCAGCAGCAGACGGGGGGCCCCCCGCTGCTGGGGGGCCCCCGGGGGCCTCCAGGGGGGCCCCACGCACCTCTGGGGGGGCCCCAGGGGGGCCCCCCGGGGGGCCCCCAGGGGCCCCCTTAGGGGGGCCCCCAAGGGCCCCCTGGGGCCCCCCTGAGGGTGGGGGAACTGGACCAGAGGGGCCCTCCGTATTGGGCTTGCTAGAAGCTGAGGAGCCCCCAGGTGCTGAGTCTGCTGCTGCTGCTGCTGCTGCTGCTGCTGCTGCTGTTGCTGCTGCTGCTGCTGCTGCGTCACTTTGCGACGGCGCTGACTCGGGCTGGCCCGCAGCAGCAGAGCGAGGTGGCTTATCTGCTGCTGCTGCTGCTGCTGCTGCTGCTGCTGCAGCTGTGGCTGCTTCTTGTCCTGTTGCTGCAGGATCAGTCTCGCCTTCAGCTGCTGCTGCTGCTTCTCCCTTTGCTGCTGCTGCGTCTGCCTTTTCTGCTGCTGCTGCTTCTCCCTTTGCTGCTGCTGCTGCTGCTGCTGCTGCTGGCGCTGCTCCCGTGTCTCCCTCGTTGCTGCTTTGTTTGGCTGCTGCACCAGGGTTTAGAAACTCCCTTTTAGGGTTTAGCAGCTCCTTTTGAGGGTTTGGGGGCTCCAGCTTGGGGCTGCGGGTTTCCGCTGGCGGGCCCGTATACTCTGATTTAGGGTTTAGGGTTTGGGGGTTGTTTCTCTCCAGAAAAGCAGCAACAGTGTCTATTGCTGCTTTGTTGCTGCCGCTCCTAAACAGCAGCACAGCAAGGCTGTAGCAAAGGGCCTCATCATCGGGCTTTTCATTTAATTCTTTTCTTTTTTTATTTATTTCTTTTTCCACTTCTTCAGGGTCCCAGGGGCCCCCGGGGGCCCCGGGGGCCCCCTCGGGGCCCCCACTTCCTTCGCCCCCAGTTTGCTGCAGCTCTTGCGAAAGGGCCTCTTTAAGAGAAGGGGAGAACTGCACAAGCTCATGAACATTCTCCCCCTCGGGGCCCCCCGGGGGGCCCCCAAGGGTGAACCCGGGGGGGCCCCCAGGGGCCCCCAGCCCCCCCTGCGGTTCATTCTGCGGTGTATAGACAGGTTCATGCGGGAGGTGCGGGGGGCCAGGCGCGCGCCTGAAGACCGCAGAAACCCTAAACCCTAAACCCTAAACCCTAAACCCTAAACCCTGATTTGGAAAGGTGGCCGTGCACGACTCGCTAGCTAGCTAGCTAGGTAGCTAGCTAGCTACCTGGTTGGTGGGTGGCGATTTGACTAGCCAATAAACGCACAGAAAAAGTGCTGTGAACCCAGCCGCTAGGGTTTAGGGTTTAGGGTTTAGGGTTTAGGGTTTAGGGTTTACTGAGGTTGAAGGTCTTGGTCTTGAGAATGTGAACAGCCAGAGGGTCTCCGGAGCTGATGCCCAGCCTGGGGGGCCTCCGGATGGTAATGCCATCAGGGTTTAGAAGCGGGTCCACAATACCTCCCTTGCTGCTGCTGCTGCTGCTGCTGCTGCTGCTGCTGCTGCTGCTGCTGCTGCGGCTGGGGCGGGGCGCAGCAAACTCGGCGGAGGCAATATCCATGAACCTCCTCCCCTCCAGGAGTCCCTTACTGGCTGTGCCCTTGGGGGCCCCCTCGGGGGGCCCCCCGGAGGCGTGCGGGGCCTGGAGTCTGAGTGCATGCGAGATATCAAAGGGGTACTGGAGGGCTCTGAAGGGTCTAGAGAAATGGGCGAAACAGAAATGGGAAGAGAAGCAGCACAAAGAGGAGATAAGCTGCTGCTGCTGCTGCTGCTGCTGCTGCTGCTGCTGAGGCCCCTCCAGCGGCGGCGGAGGCCCTCGGCCCTCTGGGCGAAGAACAAAGGCTGGGGGCCCCCCTCGCCGTCGGACATGGGGCCGCAGCGAGGGTTTAGGGTTTAGGGTTTAGGGTTTAGGGTTTAGGGTTTGGGGGGTGCGGGTCGCCTCGGGCCAGCTCCTGCCGGCGACGCCCATGCAGCCAACCGCCTCCGCAGCCGCTAACGCAGCACCCACGCTCTCCTCCAGGCGGAGGGTTTAGGGTTTAGGGTTTAGGGTTTAGGGTTTAGGGTTTGGGGGCGCTGACTCAGGCGCTGCTGCTGTAAACCACCACAAACGACTCGCGGCGAAGAACCGCTCACGCGCCTCCAAACGGAAAAGAGGGCTTTGCTGCTGCCCGCTAGCGTTTCACGTTTAGGGTTTAGGGTTTAGGGTTTAGGGTTTAGGGTTTAGGGTTTAGGGTTTAGGGTTTAGGGTTTAGTTTAGGGTTTAGGGTTTAGGGTTTAGGGTTTAGGGTTTTAGGGTTTAGGGTTTAGGGTTTAGGGTTTAGGGTTTAGGTTTAGGGTTTAGGGTTTAGGGTTTAGGGTTTTAGGGTTTAGGGTTTAGGGTTTAGGGTTTAGGGTTTAGGGGGGTTTAGGGTTTAGGGTTTAGGGTTTAGGGTTTAGGGTTTAGGGTTTAGGGTTTAGGGTTTAGGGTTTATGCAGGGCGCGGGAAACACCCCCGCGTTGGTGAACAGTTTGTTGACTTCGCTGTGCAACATTTCGCCCTTCAGGGTTAGGGTTTAGGGTTTAGGGTTTAGGGTTTAGGGTTTAGGGTTTAGGGTTTAGGGTTTAGGGTTTAGGGGGTTTAGGGTTTAGGGTTTGGGGTTAGGTTTGGGGTTTAGGGTTTAGGGTTTAGGGTTTAGGGTTTAGGGTTTAGGGTTTAGGGTTTAGGGTTTAGACCACTGCGAGAATAGTGACTGCGAAGGCCTCCAGGTGGCGCTTCACGAGGGGCAGTTTGGAAGACAGCGCAGCCAAACGTGGCGCGGTACTACGCGGACGCGAACGTAAACCGCCCGAGGCAGTATTGGGATTAAGGGTTAGGGTTTAGGGTTTAGGGTTTAGGGTTTAGGGTTTAGGGTTTAGGGTTTAGGGTTTAGGGTTTAGGGGGTTTAGGGTTTAGGGTTTGGGGTTAGGTTTGGGGTTTAGGGTTTAGGGTTTAGGGTTTAGGGTTTAGGGTTTAGGGTTTAGGGTTTAGGGTTTAGGGGGGTTTAGGGTTTAGGGTTTAGGGTTTAGGGTTTAGGGTTTAGGGTTTAGGGTTTAGGGTTTAGGGTTTAACGGCGTAGGGCTGTGTTGCGGCGGCGCAGTGGAACGGCTCAGGTGTATGCGCAGCTCCTGCCATTGCTGCTGCGGTGTCCGTTGTCTTTCTGAAATGCATTTCATTAAAATAAATTAAATTAAATCATTTTAATTCATTTCTTTTTCAATTTGCTTTTTATTTTCCTTCACAGCTTCCAATTCAGCAGCCAAAACTCCCTGCTGCACCCCTGATCTCGCTGTCTGGGGGCCCCCGGGGGCCCCCCAGCCTCGCCGAGTTCCGGGGGCCCCTCTTGTCGTTTTAAATATTTAATTTGCTGCTTTTGTTTTATTTTCTTTTTTTAAATAAATAAATTTCAGACAGCAGCAGCAGCAGCAGCCACTCGCGGCCGCTGCTGCTGCGCGGGCCTCGGAGTGGCTTCTGAACTGCCTGGGCAGCGTAGCCAGCTAGCTAGCTAGCTAGCTAGCCAGCTAGCTAGGCAGCGGCGAGCTAGCTAGCCAGCTAGCTGCACAGAATTGCATGCAGCTAGCCACGGGGATCGCTGGGAAGCTAGCTGTGACGCCTGCTAGGCGGCCAGCAAACAGCTAGCTAGCTAGCTAGCTAGCTAGTCAGCTAGCTAAGCAGCTAGCCAGTCAGCTAGCCAGGCAGCTAGAAAGACAGCCAGCTGAGCAGCTCGCTAGACAGCTACTAGGACAGCCAGCTAAGAAGCTAGCGAAGCAGCTAGCAAGCCAGCTAGCTAGGCAGCTAGCTAGGCAGCTAGCTAGGCAGCTAGCTAGGCAGCTAGCTAAGCAGCTAGCTAGGCAGCTAGCTAGGCAGCTAGCTACACAGCTAGCTAGGCAGCTAGCTGTACAGCTAGCTATACAGCTAGCTAGGCAGCTAGCTAGTCAGCTAGCTAGGCAGCTAGCTAGGCAGCTAGCTAGGTAGCTAGCTGGTTCCATAGCTTAGGCTGGCTGGCTGCTGCCGGCCAGAACTTTGGCTGCAGGTCTGTGGGACTTAATAAAAGAGAATTGGGGCTTTTTGCTGCAGACCCTTTTGCTGCTGCTGCTGCTGCTGCTGCTGCTGCTGCTGCTTCTGCTGCACGCGTCGGCCCCCTAGCGGGTCTCGAGTAACTGTGTCCCTTTGTCTCTCACAGCAGCAGCAGCAGCGCTCTTGCTGCTGCAGCTGCAGCAGTGCCCTTGCTGCTGCTGCAGCAGCAGCAGCAGCAGCAGCAGCGCCACGGAAACCACAACAACTGCTTAGCTCCAACCGCAACCTAAACAATCATAAAACAAGTTTGGGGGGCCCCCAGAGGGGGCCCCCTGGGGGGCCCCTGGGGGCCCCGTAGGGGTCCCCGGGGGCCCCCAGGGGGCCCCCGGGGGCCCCCCGCTGTGGGGCCTCTCGGCGGGGGCCCCTTGGGGGCCCCCCTTGAAGCCCCTGGGGGGCCCCCAAGCTGGGGGGGCCCCCGGGGCTCCATTAGCCATTTGGGGGGCCCCAGAGCCCCCGCAGCGCTGCATTTAAAATGTGGAATTTGAGACAAAAATTGTTTCGGAGCTGGGCCGAGGGGCCCCTTGGGGGCCCCCGGGGGGCCCCTGGGGGCCCCTGGGTACCCTGGGGGGCCCCTACGTACCCCTGGGGGCCCCTTGGGGGGCCCCTGGGGGCCCCTTAGGGGGCCCCTGGGGGCCCCTTAGGGGGCCCCTAGTACTTGGAAACATCGACTGCAGAAGCCATTTTAGTTTTTAGTAAACCCTTGGCGAAGCGGGACCTGAGAAGCAGCTCAAATAGCTAAACCCTAAACCCTAGAGTCGCCAAAACACAGGGTTTACCAGGGTTTAGGGTTTAGGGTTTAGGGTTTAGGGTTTAGGGTTTGGTGGCAGCCTCACTTGCAGACGTCGCAGGAGATTCGCTCTTTGCCGCTGTCTGAGGTTTCCGAACAGTAGACTGCACCCCAACGCGCAAACCCTAAACCCTAAACCCTAAACCCTAAACCCCAAACCCTAAACCCTAAACCCTAAACCCTACTAGGGTCTAGAAGTCGAGTTCTGAAGCGGTTTAAAGTGCTGCATCCGCCCGCTGGCCCTGCGCTGGAAACCCTCAGTGCTCGCCCCAAACCCTAAACCCTAAACCCTAAACCCTAAACCCTAAACCCAAATCCCTGGACGCAACACCCAAAACCCGAAGTTGCAAGCTCCCAACCCTAGCGCCACAACCCAAAACCCCAACCCCCAACTCCCAAACCCCAAACCCTAAACCCTAAACTCCAGGCCGCAAACCCCAAACCCTAAACCCTAAACCCTAAACCCTAAACCCTAAACCCTAAACCCTAAACCCTAAACCCTACTGGCGAGGCAGCAGGAGCAGACGAAGCAAAGGTCGACGGGTTTGTGGTGGCAGAAGCAAACCGCAGTGTTGGTTTTGTGGTGTACAGACACTGCAGCAATTGTGGGGCGCAGCGAGGGTTTAGGAAGAAACCAAAACAGCAGCAGCTGCAGCAGCGCGAAGTCTCCGCGGAGGGTTTTGGGGTTTTTTGCTGCTGCTGCTGCTGCTGCTGCTGTTGCTGCTGCTGCTCCCGCGCTGAAGCACTCCGCGAAGCTCATCCACCGCCCCCGCGTCACGTCGCACAGCTGCTCCAGCAGCGTCTGCAGCAAACCCCAAACTAGGGTTTAGGGTTTAGGGTTTAGGGTTCCGCGCTACTCAGCGAACCGCCGTCCTTCCTCAACGCCCGCGAGGGTTTAGGGTTTGGAAATTAGGGTTTGGGGTTTTGCGCTTCAGCTCAAAGCAGCAAACCGGGGTCAAGGGCCCCTCGCTAACCCCGAGGGTTTAGGGTTTAGGGTTTAGGGTTTAGGGTTTAGGGTTTGCCGCTAGGAAAGCCAAACACCTACCGAGCAGTCGGGAAGTAGGGAGCAACAGTCGATGGCAACGCCCTGACGCAAAACAACAAACCCCAAACCCTAAGCCCTAAACCCTAAACCCTAAACCCTAAACCCTAAACCCTAAACCCTATTTCCGGGCCGGGGCTTCAGACCCCGAGACGCCGCCGTCTGCTGGCTCCACGCCGCGAGCAAACTGTAAACCCCAAACCCTAAACCCCAAACCCTAAACCCTAAACCCTAAACCCTAAACCCTAAGCCCCAAACCCTAAACCCCAAACCCTAAACCCCAAACCCTAAACCCTAAACCCTAAACCCTAAACCCTAAACCCTCCTGTTTGCTCGCTGCAAAGGCAGTGTTTAAGAGAGGAATGCACTGAGCAGCAAAACCCTTTTTGTCCGAAATGTCCAGCAGCAGCACGCGGCTCTCAGCAGCAGGGCCTCCGCCCCTCCAGCGGTGCACGTCTGAACCCCAAACCCTAAACCCTAAACCCTAAACCCTAAACCCTAAACCCTAAGCCCTGGCCCTGGCCCTAAACCCTAAACCCTCGGCCCCCAAGTTGTCTGAAGGCAGGCAGAAGCAGCAGCAGCACCCGCTGCAATAAGACGGCAAAGGGGCTGCAGCCCAGCCCAAGCTAGGGTTTAGGGTTTAGGGTTTAGGGTTTAGGGTTTGGCTTACAGCACAGAGCTATTGACAGGGCCCCAGCCAGCAGCGACTCGCCTTCCATGCGGCTGCTCTTCTGCTGCGCAGCAGCAGCAGCAGCAGCAGCAGCAGCAGCAGCAGAGCCGCCATTTGCTGCAGGTCCTGCTGCCGCTCCGTCCACCTCCATTAGGCTATCCCCCGCAGCAGCAGCAGCAGCAGACTCTGCTGCTGCTGCTGCTGCTGCTGCTGCTTGCTGCTGCTGCTGCTTCACAAAAGCCACGAGGGCCTCCTGCAGCTCTGCTGCTCCATCTTCCAGGCCCGACTGCACTAAGACCCAATTTGGGGGCTGCACCTCGTGCGCAGCAGCAGCAGCAGCAAAAGAACTCACGCAGTGTTTTGGCTCATCCCCACAATGGCCATTCGACTCTGTGGGGCCGTAAGAGCTACTGCGCGGGAGAAACGCGAGACTGCACCTGCAGCAGCAGCAGCAGCAGCAGCAGCAGCAGCAGCAGCAAGTGAAGCAGCAGCAGCAGCGGCAGCCCAGAGCATCCGACAGGTCTGTATTAAAAGGCAGCAGCAGCAAAGGCCCACCGGAAATGAAGTCAAGATAACGGACCAGGGCCTCGGCGCTGTTGTGTCGCTGCTGCTGCTGCTTCTGCTGCTGCTGCTGCTGCTGCTGCTGCTGCTGCTGCAGCCGCTGCTGCAGGCGAGGCGGGATGGGCTGCGTCTTCTCCAGAAAAGCATTTAGAGCTGATGGCTGCTGCCACACTGCGGGGTTTAAATCCACAATAATAACAAGAGTGCCATCAGCAGGGGGCCTCGCTGCTGCTGCTGCTGCTGCTGCTGCTTCTGCTGCTTCTGCTTCTGCTGCAGCTGCTGCAGCAGGTTCCGCTGCTGCTGCCGGCGTTGCTGCTGCCGTCGATGCTGCAGACCCCGCAGGCTCCGGCGACTGGAACGGTCCTGCTGCTGCTGCTGCTGCTGCTGCTGCTGCTCGCTCGTGCTGCAGAGCAGCACGAGAGACCGCCGGCTCCATCCTCGCCGCCGTCAGGTGTACATACACCCCATTGCCGTGGCCTGAAGCAGGGAAAGCCCCTTCCCACAAACAGCAGCAGCAGCAGCAACAACAACTGCAGCAGCAGCAGCAGCAGCAGCAGCAGCAGCAGCAGCGGGGTGCCGCCGCCCGGGTGCTAGAGTAGCTGCTGCGCGCCGCCCCAGCTGCTCGTTCGAACTCCCTGCCAGCTGGCGAGGGAAAATTGAAAGTCTTTTATTTATTTTTAAAATAAAATAATAAAATTAATTTATTTTAAACTCCAAAGAAGCCTCTTAGCTGCTGAGGGGCCCCCGGGGGCCCCCCCGCAGCCCTGCTGCGCAAAGCCGCAGCAGCGCAGCAGCAGCGGGGGCCCCCGAGGCCCCCCAGCAGCAGCAGCAGGCCAAAGTCTAATCTGCTGCTGCTTTTCGTGAATAAAATGATAAATGGAACTTAAATATAAATGGTTGGTCTTTAGTTTTGTGTTTATTGGTTTTCTGGCGAGCTGCTGCTGCGCTGGGCTGTATGTACACCCCAGACACGCAGCAGCAGCAGTCGGCTGCTGCTCGCTGCTGATGACTTCTCTTCTTTTTTCTCTCTAAACCCTAAACCCTAAACCCTAAACCCTAAACCCCGTGTCAGCGCGCCTCTTCACTCCATGGGGCCCTTCTGGGGGCTGCAGCAGCTGCGCAAGGCGCGCAAGGCGCTGCTGGGGAGGCTGCGCTATTTGCTGCTGCCTCTGCTGCAGCTGCGGCGGCCCGTGCTGCACCCGCAGCAGCAGCAGCAGCAGCAGCAGCAGCAGTTGCTGCTCAAGCAGCGGCCGCCGCCTTCGCCCGCGGCGCCGCAGCAGCACGCGGAGAGCAGCAGCAGCAGCGGCTCCGACGGCGACCTGCGCCGCAGCAGCCCCACCCCCAGCAGCAGCAGCAGCAGCAGCAGCAGCAGCAGGAGGCTGTGGGGCGCGGGGCTGTGCCTGCGAGCTGCTGCTGCATGCACTGACATCTGCTGCTCCTGCTGCTTCTTCTTTTTTTCCCGCTGCGACAAGCTGCTGCGGCTGCTGGGCTTTGTGCTGCCTTGGGTTGGTTTGCTGCTGATTGCCTTTTGCTGCTACGTGTACTTTTTGCTGCTGCTGCCTCTGTGGAACGGGCCGGCGCCGGCGGCGGCCTCCCCCCTGCTGCTGCAGCTGCAGCAGCAGCAGCAGCAGCAGCAGCAGCAGCAGCAGCAGCAGCGAGGCTGGCAGCACCTGCTGCTCTCCTGGCTCTGCCCCCAAGCTGCTGTTGCTCTCTGGCTTATTTGCTGCACTCTTTACTGCTACTTCAAAAGCATTTTTGTGTCTCCTGGCCGCCCCCCAGCAGCAGCAGCAGGAGTTTTGTCGCAGCAGCAAGTTGCTGCCTTTGCTGCTCTCTCCCACATGTTTTGCGGCACCCCTCTGCTGCCTCCCCCCGATGCTGCTGCTGCTGCTGCTGCTGCTGCGGGTGCAGCTGCTGCTGACGCAGCGGCGGAGCCCGCGGATGTGGAGCTGCCCTCTGCACACTCTCCTGCTGCTGCTGCTGCTGCTGCTGCTGCTGCTGCTGCTGCTTCCGAAGCAGCCTCGTGCGCAGAGGCAGCGGCCGCGGTAGTGGCAGCAGAGGCAGCAGCAAAGCCAGCAGCAGCCGCAGGAGCAGCAGCAGCAGCAAGCGCCGAGCCGGCCGCAGCAGCAGCCAAAGGGCCACCTGCTGCTGCTGCCTCTGACCCCGCCCCCACCCCCCCCTGGCAGCAGCAGCAGCAGCAGCAGCAGCAG